CCTCCACCTCCTGGGTTCAAGTGATTCTCCTGCCTCAGCTTCCTGAGTAGCTGCGATGACAGGTGTGCAACACCATGCCCAGCTAATATTTGTAGTTTTATTAGAGATGGGTTTTCACCATGTTGGCCAGGCTGGTCTTGAACTCCTGACTTCAAGTGATCTGCCTGCCTTGGCCTCCCAAATATTCATTTATCTACTGATGGATACCTGGGTTGTTTTCACACTTTGGCTACTATGAGTATGTAAATATCTCCTGAGTCCCTGCTTTGAGCTTTTTTGGGTATATACCTATGAGCAGAATTGCTAGTGTAGGCCTATGTTTAACCTTTTGAGAAACTGCCAAACTGTTTTTCACACTGGCTGCACCATTTGACATTCTCACCAACAATGCACAAGGATTTTAATTTCTCCAGTCCTCACCAGCACTTAATATTTTCCATTTTTAAAAACTATAGCCATCTTAGTATGTGTGGAGTTTTCTTACTCTTTTTCCTCAAATAAGGAAGACTTGTTTTGCCCAGGTGACATGCATCTCCAAAGCAGTTCCACCATAACTGGTAGGCACTTAGACCGCCTTTTCATTCTACTGTTAATGCATGTGAAATGTTGCAAATAAATGCATCAAACATTCCTATTAAAATTTTTAAATAAATTTTAGGCCAGGCGCAGTGGCTCACACCTGTAAGTTCAGCACTTTGGGAGGTCAAGGTGGGCGGATCACTTGAGGCCAGGAGTTCGAGACAAGCCCAGCCAACATGGTGAAACCCCATCTCTACTAAAAATACGAAAATTAGCCGGGTGTGGTGGCATGTGCCTGTAGTCCCAGCTACTCAGGAGGCTGAGGCAGGAGAATCGCTTGAACCTGGGAGGCAGGGGCTGCAGTAAACAGTGATCACGCCACTGCACTCCAGCCTGGGTGACAGAGGAAGTCTCCATCTCAAAAAACAAAAAAAAAATTTTTTTCAACAGATTTAATTTTTATTTTCTTTTGAGACAAAGTCTCACTCTGTCACGCAGGCTGAAGTGCAATGACATGGTCTCTGCTCACTGCAACCTCTGCCTCCTGGGTTCAAGCAATTCTGCCTCAGCCTCTCGGGTAGCTGGGACTACAGGGACACACCACCATACCCGGCTAATTTTTATATTTTTAGTAGAGATGAGGTTTCACTATGTTGGCCAGGCTGGTCTCCAATTCCTGAGCTTGTGATCTGCCTGCCTCGGCCTCCCAAAGTGCTGGGATTACAGGCGCGAGCTATCACGCCTGGCCTAGATTTTAGATTTTAAACAGAGTGAAAGTACCCTTTGAATGCCTCTGCGTTTGTGACCCCTCCCCAGCCTGCTATCAGGCAGTATTTTCCTAAGTTTCTCATGCATTCACAGATGCTTGTGAACATGTATGAAGGTGTAGTTTTCCATTTTTTTTGCAAAAAGTATTGTGCCACTTCTACTGTTTAATGACCTGTTTTGTTTTTTCTTTTCTGAACAAATCCACAGTCTTTCTATGTTGTTATTTGTAGAGCTGTCTCATTCTTGTATTTTTATTTATTCCACAGTATTGTATGGGTGTATTGTTACATATTGTTAAGTACAGACATGATGTGTGGCACTGGTTATTGTCCAGAACAATGTACGTCCTGGTTCAGCGTCTCAGGTCCCGTCTGGACATCCGGCCTCTGCTTTCATACTCATGCGGGGCTCTGGGCTCACGTCCAGAGGTCAGTTTCCTGCCGAGCATACCTTGTTGAACTCCCATGTCTCCTCTTTGCAGGCCAAGAATAAGGAGACGGGTGCCTTGGCTGCGGCCAAAGTCATTGAAACCAAGAGTGAGGAGGAGCTGGAGGACTACATCGTGGAGATTGAGATCCTGGCCACCTGTGACCACCCCTACATCGTGAAGCTCCTGGGAGCCTACTATCACAACGGGAAGCTGTGGGTAAGGCTGCCGCCCAGCCTTCCTCTGCTCAGCCCCCATGGCCTGGTACTCTGGAGCTAGCTTGGTCCTGAGGTCTTCAGCTCTTTCTCAGCATCTGCTTTGAGGGCGAGGACCAGGGCAAGGAGATGGGGAAGTGGGGAGCTCCTGGCCAACTACTCTCCCCTTCCTGTGGTGCCTCCCCCTTGGGAGGAGCACCAGTGATTTGGAGCAGGAAGGAACTCTGAAGCTCTACTGCCTGGCCTCGAATCCCAGCCCTGCTATTTACAAGCTGAATAATCCTAACCAAGTTCCTAACCTCTCCATGCATTAGCTTCTCCATCTGTAAGGAGGGGCTGATAATAGTACCTAGCTCATAATTAGTGGGATTAAGTGAGTAAATTCATGCTAGGTGCTTAGAAGAGTGCTGGGCACATGTAAGAGCCCAGGAAGTGTTGGCTATTTTATTAATTGTCGTAGTAGCACCTCTTCTACCGCTGCCGCAGCTGCTATGCGGAGATCCTTCTTGATGGCTGCAGTAAAGAAGCGATCTCTTTACCAGGCCCCTATTTTCCATCAGCATCCTCATTCTTTGATGAGCAGTGTGGATGCAGCTTCAAGCCCCACCTTCCAAACTCAGCACCACCCCTAACTTCTTTTTCTTTATGACAGAGTCTCACTCTGTTGCCCAGGCTGTAGTGCAGTAGAGTGATCTCAGCTCACTGCAACCTCTGCCTCCCAGGTTCAAGCAATTTTCCTGCCTCAGCCTCCCAAGTAGCTGGGATTGCAGACATGTGCCACAATACCCAGCTAATTTTTTTGTATTTTTAGCAGAAACAGCATTTCATCATGTTGGACAGGCTGGTCTCAAACTCCTGAGCTCATGTGATCCACCCACCTTGGCCTCCCAAAGTTCTAGGATTACAGGTGTGAGCCACCATGCCCAGCCCACCCCTCAACTTCTGTAAAGGAACTGGGGAGTGCCCCCTGGCTTTCATGGGACAAGCCTGCCTGAGTCTGTCTCATTTATGTTCTCCTGGTGTAAATGCCTCTCAGTTTATAAAACCGAATTCCTGGCCAGGCGCAGTGGCTCATGCCTGTAATCCCAGCACTTTGGGAAGCCGAGATGGGTGGATCACCTGAGGTCAGGAGTTCGTGACCAGCCTGGCCAACATGGTGACACCCCATCTCTTATATAAAAAAAATAAAAATAAAAATAAAACCGAATTCCTGTAATGTATATCTCTCCAAGCTTTTTTGCAGCCAGTGTTTTCTACGTAAAACATTGTATGTTTGTCCCAAAACCCAGTACAGCATTTATAACAAAAAGATATAAGACAGGAAAAGTCTTGAGTGATTGCTGGATGTAATTAGAAGCATGTCAGAATCAGATGTAAGCGTCTGGGCATCCCAGATATTGCTGGGGCAGAGAGAGCTCAGGGCCATGTCACTGCACACAGCCGTAGTTATTAGTGGTGGTTAATTATTCGGTGATCAGGACGGGATGTTTTCAGCATTGTCCATACTTGTCATGATAGTTTATTACGTATGAAGAGAGTTTTACTGTGTGTTGGTTACATTTTAGGAAATTGATGGGGAATTGAGTTGATATATAACATTGTGTAATGGGAAAGAGAGTCCTAGCTTTTTTTTTTTTGCACAGAATGCCTCGTTTTTAGGAGCAGAATTGCTGATGCTCAATGGAGAAATCTGTGTTTCCTTGGAGAGAAGAATCCTGCTGCTTAAGAAGAACAAAGTGTTGTCTAGAAACTCTCAGGTGGCATTGGGGGAATAAAACTGCCACCACTTAATGATTCTCAGCTTCAGATTTCAAAGCCCTGTTTATCTATAGTCTTCAGGGTCCTCTGGAGGAGAACAAACGAGAGAGAGTTGCCAGGTGTCACCCTTCTCCAGAGGAGGGAAAAGAAGCACAGAAAGGGCAGGCCCCTTGCTCATGGTCACACAGCTCAGGCTTATGACCCGAGACTGTAGGTTTCTTCTGTCCTAATTCAGGGAGCTGCCTTTTAAAGTGGTGGCTGTTCTTCTCCTTCTTCTCTTCTTCTTCCTCCTCCTCCCCCTTCTCCTCCTCCTCTTCTTTTCTTTCTTGTCTGCCTGCTTTCTTCCTTTCTTTCTTTTCCTTCCTTTTGTTCTTCTGTTTCTCTCTCTCTCTCTCTCTCTCTCTTTCTCTCTTTCTCTCTTTCTTTTTGAGATGGAGTTTTGCTCTTTTTGCCCAGGTTAGAGTGCAATGGCACAATCTTGGCTTACTGCAACCTCCACTTCCCAGGTTCAAGCAATTCTCCTGTCTCTGCCTTCCAAGTAGCTGGGATTACAGGCGTGTGCCATCACAGCGGCTGGCTAATTTTTGGTCTCGAACTCCTGACCTCGGGCGATCCACCTACCTTGACCTCCCAAAGTGCTGGGATTACAGGCGTGAGCCACCATGCCCAGCCAGTTTTTCCTTCTTTCAAGAAATTACACAATAGGCTAGACACAGTGGCTCATACCTATAATCCCAGCACTTTGGGAGGCCGAGACAGGAGGATCGCTTGAGCCCAGGAGTTTAAGACCAGCCTGGGCAACATAGAGAAACCTCACCTCTATAAACAAACAAACAAACAAAAAAGAAATTACACAAATAAA